TGGTCTGAGTAGAATTATTTTTATTTAATAATTTCTATACTCCCCAACAGAAGTTATCTTCGTCAAAGAATTTCTATGTCAGAAGTTTCCATTCCCAACAAAGCTTTTTCTCATTACAACAGAGGAGAAAGAATTTGTTCCACCGTGAAGTGGGGAGTTTGATCAGAATTCAATATTTTCTCTGAACTACAATTTACGTTTGCAGTATTCTTCCCAGGAAGTTACTTCCCCAGCGATATCGATCTTTAGAGGTTAGTGGTTCCAAATCTAGGTTCCCCATTGAATTACAAATTGCCTTTTCTCTATAGAAGATCAGATGTACAAGAATAATCATTCAAAAGTTCATGGTCTTCTCAACATCCGATTATTGATGTGTTTTCCAGTGAATTACTAAACATGCATCATTACATTGCATCATTACATTGCATCATTACATTGCATCTACCAAAACGCGTAGCATTTCCACGGTATGGAGCATTACGCTATATAATTTTTTTTTCAAACATGCATAAGTATAATCCAATTGTGTTTACTTCCAGTAACCAGACTGTTATGCATTCAGATTCGAACTATCTCCATAAGAAGCCTAGGATGATTCTATTCTGTTTCCCCAGCTAAGGTTGTTTAATCTACCACCAGTCGAGTCTTTGGTGTTTCCCATTGTCTTAGTAAGTCGTGATTCTCTCTTACCCTTGCAAGCCTTTGGTTATATATTTCCTTTCCTACGGACATATGTTTCTTGATATCCTTGGTTATACACCCTTTCCTCTGGACGTATATTCCTGATATCCTTGGTTAGAGTCCTTTCATCCGGCCTCTTTATTTATTACGTATCTGATACCGACCACGGATATGTATTTTTGATACCTGTTTTATATGTCTGCTACCAACCCCAGACATGTGTTCTTGTATCTTTGATGTCTCTTTCTTACATATCCGATACCGACCACGGATATGTATCTTTGATATCTCTTTCTTACGTATCCGATACCGACCACAGATATGTATTTTTTATACTTGTTTCGTATGTCTGCTACCAACCCCAGACATGTGTTCTTGTATCTTTGATGTCTCTTTCGCACGTATCCGATACCGACCACGGATATGTATCTTTGATATCTCTTTCTTACGTATCCGATACCGACCACAGATATGTATTTTTGATACTTGTTTCATGTGTCTGCTACCAATCCCAGACATGTGTACTTGATATCTTTGTAAGAGATTTCTTCGGTCTGTCTCTTTCTTATGTATCCGATACCGACCACGAATATGTATTTTCGATACCTGTTTCATATGTCTGCTACCAACCTCAGACATGTGTTCTTGTATCTTTGATGTCTCTTTCGTACGTATCCGATACCGACCACGGATATGTATCTTTGATATCTCTTTCATGCGTATCTGATGCCGACCACTGATATGTATTTTTGATACCTGTTTCATATGTCTGCTACCAACCCTAGACATGTGTTCATGTATTTTTGATGTCTCTTTCTTACGTACCCGATACCGACCACATATATGTATTTTTGATGTCTCTTTCGTACGTATCCGATACCGACCACAAATATGTACCTTTGATATCTCTTTCTTACTTACCCGATACCGACCATGGATATGTATTTTTAATACTAGTTTCATATGTCTGCTACCAACCCCAGACATGTGTTCTTGATATCTCTGATGCCTCTTTTATGCGTATCCGCTACCAACCCCGGATATGTATCTTTTCTGTCTCTTTCGTGCGTATCCGATACCAACCACGGATATGTATTTTTAATACCTTGCTTCGTATGTTTGCTACCAATCCATGACATGTGTCTGTGACATCCTTGTAAGAATCTTTCTTCGGTTTGTCTCTTTCGTATTCGATACCGACCCCGGATTAGTATCTTTGATAACTTTTTTTCGTATGTCTGCTACAGACTTCAGGCATATACCTTTTGATACCTTTATTATAGGTGTTTGTTACTAAATCCCAACAAGTGTTCCTCGATAACCAAGTTATTCTTCTGTGTGTCAAACTCTGGTTAAACATACATCTAACCGTGATAACCTCTTTTACCCAAAAAAAATATATAAATAGAAAACACAGAAAACCAAAATATAATGTATACTTGACTGGCTTCGGAGCGCAAATTTTCGGGTTCTTTTATTATTTAATCTTCTTTCACCCTGAAAGTTCGAAAGGCTAACGCCAATCTCACCTTCAGGTTGAAGGCGATTAAATAGGGGCAACTATTGCACCCTAAAAATTGCCCTCCTAATTTCTTTTATTCCGGCTTAGAATTTGCACTCATCTGCATCATTCCAATAGATCATGTGCATAACATGCATTTTCATAAAAAAGGGATAGAGCGCCGGAGGTTAAAAAAATCAGTGGTTATGGAATTAGGGTTCACAGCTGCTTTGAGCCGTATATGGTGAATAAGACTGATCATTTTATGGGAGACGGTGGAATTAGGGTTTTGGTTCATGATTCAGTTTGGACTTCTTCTCCATCAAGCAACAAAGCTATTATCTTCGTCTGAATGTCAAGCTGCATGGTCTTTCTTGTCAAGAATTCAGGGATGTGACCTAGCATACGTATTCTTTGAATAAAGACGTATTCTCGTATGTGCGTGTTTATCATTTGATCAGGCTTAACAACATAAGTTCAATTCATTCATCTATTCCCCAATTAACCAATTCAGGTTTGGTCGAAATAGGGTTTTAAGATGCTTCATCTAGACGTTTTCTCTATCCATTTGAATTGAGGAAATAAAGTCGTGAGGTGTGGTTATCAGGATTTCTTTCTCTTCAGGATATAATTGTTTATCCGGTCTCAGCAAGTTATGGGGTTTTCATTCTGTGCGACTAAGGTTTCATGTCAAATAACTTCTTCCGTGTCTCAAACCTTATGGCCCATCCTTAAGATGTTCTTCAGGACATTACTTTTGAGTTGAGATAACCAGTCATTAAGGGCTGAGGATTGAATTGTGAAGCGTGGTTTATGGCATAAGATATGAATTTGTGGACTAATTCTCGATCAAGGCGATTATCGTTCTTATCATTGTCATTTATTGTCCATAATATGAGTGAATTTGAATAGAAGTAGGCTTTTATTGAAGGATTCATGAGAAGTGACTCAGGGTTTATTCAGGATTTTTCAAGTACTCAACACAAGTTCAATGCATTCATCTTATATCACGGTTCGTTTTATATGATAAGTCAAGGAACTCTCGGAATTTAAGTACTAAGGTGAAAGTAAGACCCATTTAAAATCCATTCAAGTGGTTACGTTGGTTGAATCAATTTTCTTTGAGGCACGAGTGTGTGGTTTGTTTGGAGTTCAAGTATTAGGCATAAGGATCATTCATCATCTAATATTCATCATTTGGAAGTCATTAGAACTCAAGTACCATTTTTAAGTTCTTATCACAAGAATGTTACATCAAGGAAAAAGTTAAAATACATAAGTAACATTCATCCAAGTTCATTATAATTGTTGTTATTCGTCGTATCACATTAAGAATCCGCAAAGAAAACAATTACAAAAGAGTCTTAAATTTAAGTTCTTAAAGTCCAATGCATAAGATTCTATGCTATGCTCCAAGACTTCTAAATCTTAGTCATGCTTGAGCCAATTCAGTTTCATCCATGACCTGCAATACATGCTTGAGGCCGTGCTGGCCAAGACTCATTAGATGCACAACCGAGGGCCAATGGAATTACCCCCAAAGGTAGTGATGCATTGTCTGGTGAACTTTGGGAGGAAAAGAAAGATAGAGTATGCAAGGCTTCCATATATGGGAATTTACCTAGTTGGGACTTACGATCGGTTATTGTGAAGAAGTGGAGAAGATTGCAGGCAAGAGCATCTGGCTGTTCAACTCATTTCTCACTTCTATGATATTTTCCAAGAAGCTGGTCTACCGCTTTGGCTGCGCCCTTATGAAGTTTTTTGTACTTCTTCTTATACAGATCTCATTTAAAGAATTCCAGATACGACTTCTCTACACTCAATCAAAAGTAGATATCCCAACAACTCTAGTCTACGTGAATTCTTCGACACTAAATATTAAGAAAACTCTCCAAGTTTTAAACTTTCCCAGAGGAACTTTGTTGAGAGTATGGCTGGATATTCCCTTGTGTGCTACTTTCTACAGGTGAAGGATATGCATAATGGGAACCTCTTATTGGACGAAGAGGGTCATCCGCCCCTGATCTCGAGGAAATGAAAGAAGAAATTAGGAAACAAGAAGAAAACGCGACAAAGAGAAAGAAGAAAAATATAATAAAATGTATATGAAGGAACTTGCTTTGACTTGTTTACTCTTAACAGCTTCAGCAAGATGTCTTCTTTCAGCTCAAGAAATTCACTTCTACTTTATTCCAGGGAGTATCATTCCTTCTGGTGGGTTTAGGTTTGACTGGTGAACAAGTAGATTGAGAGAAAAGGCAACAACAAAATTAGAGTAATAATTGGAATCTGTACAATGTAGAGAGAAACATGCATGAGGAGTTGGTTAGTTATATAAGAAGAAAAAGCAAACGGCCATTACAGTTGGGAAGGTATTGCAAATGTTTACCGGTCTCAGATTTCTAATGAATAAAATGAAAGAAATTATGAAAACTTATCTGTTGCTGAAAGAAGAAAAGTGATTGAAACAGGAGGATCTTCTCCAGCTTTGGATGGAAGCTTATTTCCATCAGAAAATTCTTTTGCTAATGAAATGCCGACTATTCAGGTTACTGCAGCTGAAACAGGAGGATCTTCTCTGGACTTGGATGAAAGAACAGTGACTGAAATTGTTGGAAGCTCACCTTCACCAGAAAAGTCTTTTGTTAATAAGATGCTAACTATTCAGACTGTTGTAGCTGATCCAGAAGAAGGGAATACAAAAGTTTACCTGTCAAAAATTTCAAATGAAGAAAATTAAGGAAACTATGATAAGTCATTTGTTGTTCAGGAACCTGAAAAGATACCAGAAAATAAAGAATGAGAAGAAAACTACTCAGATCGCTGATGAACAGGAGCATGGTTTTTCATCTGGAAAACCTGCTGCTGCTAGCACCCCTTTTGACCATCCTGTTGGCCTTAGATCTGCAACTCCATTGTCAAAACCTGCTCCTAGGGCAATGCAACAGCCAACAGAAAACATAATTTCAGAAAAAGAGAAAAAACGGTAACTAAACTTCTGACTAAATCCCAACTGTTTTAAACTTTAACAGAAGCTAATAGTTCTAACCAACTCTAAACCAACTTCTAACCAACTTCTAACAAACTAAAATAGAATTGATAACAACTTACAACTAACCTCAATCTCACCATTAATCTCCAAAATAAACTCTCATTATCCAAGGGCTTAGGTTCATTCTTCATATAACTGATTTCAGATTCCCTTTCTACTATATAATCTCAACTCTCTCCAAAAATCCGGGGCACGATTCATTTTTACAAAATAAAGAAAAATCACTAGAAAATCTCACTCTTCCTTCTTTGAAACCTCTGAACCTTTATCACCATAGTCTTCCTTCTTGAATCTTCCTCAACCTTCATTCACGATATCTCAGAGCTTCAATAACATGTGATCTTCAATCAATTTTCCTGCCAAAACACCTTCATCACATTGAAACTGCTTCACTCTCTTCAAACTTCATCATCGTTTTTTTTTTTTGTCTGTGAACCAAAAATCTTTAATCTTCTGCACCTTCTTCCAATCTTCCTCGTCAACATCACGTGCATCATCGTCTTTTTGCACATACGCTCCAAACATAATACCTTCATTCACTACAACATGTAACAATCAGCAACACGCAGAATTTCAACAACAACAACATAACTACGTGAACGCAAAGAGGGAGAAGAGACCGGGCGATTCGTACCTAATTTTGCTGAGTTCGATCACCGACATCCGAATTGCATCAAAAAGGCGCCTGAGTGCCTTCGGTAGGTAACTCTTTTCAATCTTCATTATCATTCAATTTGTGCTTCATTTTTTAAACCGTGTATCGCTCGGAGATGGTTGGAGACGAGAATCGCCAAAAAGGTTTGAATCAGCGGAATCAAATCGAATACAAGATTGAATGATGACGTTTTAATCAGAGAGGTTGAGTAGATCATTTCGATAGCCGCATCGTGTTTTTTTTGTTTCTGTTTTGAGAAGCGTGAGGTGGATTGAGTTTGTCGAGGGCTGATCAGGAGAAACAATGAGATGATGTTGAATTTGTAACAGATAACGAAGCCATGGAGCCTCGATGACGAAGATTGTAGCGGCGGGAGAAGCTTGTTTTTCTCCGTTCATGTTGAAGAAAGAAGATGAGGGGAAGGTATTTTCCATGATGAAGCTGAACAGATGCAAAGTTTTAACCCTAGTTCGGTCAAAAACAGCGTCATTTCATCGTACTTTCATCCCATTCAATTTTTATTATTTTTTCTCTTTAGCTTAATAATGGTGATGGATAATTAGTAATGCTGAAAAGAAATAAAGGTTAGATCCGTGTGTTAATGGACCGGGTATTGGACTTGGGTGAATTGATCCCATAAGCCCCTTATGATTTTTGCATACCTGAAGCTTGAACAAAAAAGCAACTTCTGGACTCCTCTAATGGGCCTAGCGCCCAACCACCTTACTATACCATAGCCCTTGGATTGCAATTCTCACCCCCCTAATCCTCTTAGTTTCCTTTTATAATTTTTAATGCTTTCTTTCATTTGTTTTATAACAAAATACATAATAAAAAAATGGTAAAAATATTCAAAGGCATTTTAGAATTTAATTAGGAATATATTTCTTCTTTTGCTAACTTTTTAGTCAATTTTAATCATTAGTTTTATTCATTTTTGTATCGTGTATTTTGTTTGCAATCTTTTAGTATGGATCGTATGCAATACTTTAATACTTGCTACCAATTTTACTTGTTTGTATAGTCTTTCATGATCCCTTAGGATTTTTTGGTTCGCATTTAATCTTTAATTTAATTGAACCAAAATTAGACATTAGAATTCTAAATCCAAGCATGCAAACATTAGGTAGAATTCCCTCAAAATTCTAGCTTTAGGTCTAACAATGCGCGACAACATTAGGTGTAGAAATAGGCTAGTCCCCCTTGACTTTTCTTTCCACTCTTTGCATACGCATTTAAAACAAAAAAAAACTTCTTTCTTACAAACTTCAAAATACTTAAAAATTATGGAGGAGAATCGTGCCTTCGTTAAGCATGAGAAACGATAAGCGGGTCTCTTCTTGATCTTATTGTTTTTCCATTCTAAGCCTTGGCATGGTTCAAGTCTCAAAGACTTATTTCACAAATAAGTAGAGAAATGGCTAAAATCTCTCCCTTGAGGTCAACTGGTTGTTATCTACTAGCAAAAAAACACCAACTAACACAAACTCTTTTTGCCTTCGGGCCTTTCTATCAAAACTTTTTCCAAAGAGCATGTTAATTCACTTCTGTGCTGACGCGTAAGTCTCCAAAGATCGAGTTACGGCTGAAGGCGAAATTAATATCGTTCATTACAAACACAAACAAAATTCAAACCTTTTTGTGCACCCAAGCACTTTTTCTCCAATTTTTTTTCAAAAGAGCATGTTAATTCACTTTTGTGCTGACGCGTAAGTCTCCAAAGGTCGAGTTGCGGCAGAAGGCGAAATTAATATTGTTCAGTAAAAAATACAAACCAACAAAAACATATGATCCAAACTACGGCTGCTTTGATTCCTTAAAATGGATACGTAAGCATTGGGGTAGGGCCCGGGCGAGCATAACTTTTATTTTCCCTACATTCTTTTCTCCTTTATTTTGCATGCATTCCCTGTACAACTTAGATATAGATTCTTACACACCCTTTAACTAGAACAACAAGAGTGGATACCATAGAGTACTAGGGGCGTGTGGGGTGCTAATACCTTCCCCTCGCGTAACAGACTCCCTTACGCTTATCTCTTGGTCGTTCGACCTTGATTTCACCCTTCTCATGTTTTCTCGATGTTTACCTTTCCCTTCCTGTGGGATAAAAGAAATTCGATGGCGACTTTATTGTTTGATGATTTTCAGCCGGTTGTTTCAGAAAGGAACCATGATGATATTGTTTAACCGAGGGTTTTTGATAAAGTATTCCCGTTTTCGTGGGACATGACCATTAGTATCGCAAGGGAACAAAGAGAGGTTACCCTAGAGGTAAAGTGTGCAAAGTTTATTGGTTTCAGTTGTGTTATCTTGAAAATTAAGGTTATCTATGTTTGATTTTATTCTTATCATACAAGCCTATTTACTAGCAGTTATATATATACAAACATAGAAAGGTAAAAGATAAAGCGAGAATGTAAATCTATGCTATTACAGGGCTTTGGCAAAGTTACATAATTAAAAAAAATGTGGGGATGTAAATCTAAACTATTACATTAAACCGTGCGACCTATACAATTGTCTAAGAAAATAAATAACAAAAAGAATAAGAAAATATTGAAGAAAAAAAAGTTTAAATGCCCTAAATATCGAAGTTCATATTTTTGGTGTTTTTATGAAAATAATTTAAGTCTTAATTAATAATAATTAAAATCCTAATTCTAATTGATTTTAATTAATAAAAAATTCTAAAATCTAATTTTCCAAAAAAACAATTATTTAATTTACACCTTAAAACTAATTTTTTGTTGATTTTATTATATGACTTCTTTCTGATTTTTTTATGTATAAGTTTTGATTAAAAATAGTTAATTAATAATAAAATAACTAATAAAAATAAAGGGAAAATGAAGAAAGTAAAGCAAAAAGGGTTTTAAAATCGTTGGGGTTTGAAGCCCCTCCCTTCTCTTCACCCGTTTGGTTCCAACATGTTTTATGTTTCTTGTTTAACACATATGGACATATGAAACTTTTTAATAACACAAGGATTAAGAAATTTGAAATTAGAAAATCTTTACGACCGGTGTGATTAAGGGGAGGCATTCTGGGCACGGTTGAGCGTGGTTATGGATTTGAGGAGGTTCTTGGGGATGTCAGGATGATGATTCGAGGCTTCGTTTCAGCAGAGAATGGATGGAAAACTGGGATACAGTTAGCACCTATTATTTGAATTTTTTGTGTTTGAGAACTTGTTTCTATGGCAGCTAATCTGTGTCCTTGTCTTATGGAGTGTGTCCTCTATTTATAATGGATAATTTTGTAAGTTAACATTCTTGGAAGGAAACATGTGCTATCAAAGTCATTATTTGTTTCCAAAATAATTGCAAAACTTTCCAAAACATGAATATATATTTCCTTCTTCATCCCTCACGATTTTGTCATGTTGGATATGTGATCTTGAGCTTAAAAATGATCCAAAACAAAAGCCTACATGCCTTGTACATTTATTTAATTTAATTTTGGATTTAAATGAATAAAATAAAATAAAATGAAATAAAAAAATAAAATAATGCATGAATGGACTTAGGGGTCCCTAAACATGTCATAAACATGTTTGAACTTCAAAAGTTAGGCTCATTAGCCTAAAAGTCCAAAATTGCTTAATTGTCGTTTCATGCATTTTCTCAAAATTGCTCAACTTGAACCGATCATAACTCTCTAAAATTTCATCATATGAAGGTGATCTTGGACTTTTAGGAAAGCTCAAGATGTCTCATACGACTCTCATGTTGGTCACTTTTTTCATTTGAAATATTAAAGTTGATGTTAATTGCTTTGACAAAAGATGTCTTTTTGTTGACTTTTAAAATGACCTGTAATCTTTTGGCCTATATCTCTCAAATGAAGCATTTTTGGCTTTGATCTTAGAGAGACAAAGTTGTAGAGAATTGAATTTCCTTAAAGATAGGCTTTGGTTTAGGAATTTCTGATCAAGCATGTGAATGTTATACTTGGTCAAAGTTTAGTTGTGTTCTCCTTAAGAAAACCCTAATTTGGTAACTTTTGTCTTTTGATGAATCTTGAGTTTTCTTGATGAATCAAGATCAACCCTTGATAAAATTATGAATGTTACTTCAAAATATTGATGTTTACCAAAAATCTTGAAGTTTGACTGTAAGTTGACCAATGTTTACTTTTTATCTAATACAATTGATTTTTAATCATCTGAGCAATTTTCTGAACAAATTTGTGATGTAAGGCTTGAAACTTGACATGTCGATTATTTGAAGCATATGAGGAACCATGAAATCCACTTGAGGCCTTATAAGCTCAATCTTCCTTGGGAAAAATAAAACCCTAGTTGTAGGTCAATTACTTAGGAGGAGAGTCCATCTGATCAATCCTTGATAAGTCTTGATTGTTTGAGACCTTTATTAGTATGAGGAGACCTATTTAAATAATTTTTCTTGGAAGTAGGAGGGAAAATTTGGGGTACAACAACTTCCCCTGTTCAATCTTCTTAAACTTGAAGAGTTAGATTGGCATGCTCGCCATTAGTGGTCTGAAGGTAGAAGAGGATTGAACACATAAGTGCCCAGAAATTTGTGCTCGCCGATGCACGAAGTTACACTGTTGGTTGATTATATTGCTTTAATGGGCTTAAAGATGCCATTCAAAAAATTTACAGTGTCGTTAAAGATGGGCTTATAGAGGCAATCCAAAGTAACTGTTGATAGGAGTATCAGAATGAGTCTATGTTCGACGGTATCTGAGAAGTATACTAGAATGAGTCTGCGTTTGACTGTATCCAGCAGATGTACTAGGGAGTGTCAGAATGAATCTTATGTCTTGATTGTATCTGAATGGTGTTATAGAATGAGTCTATGTCTTAACTGTATTTGAAGAATATATCGGAATGAGTATCAGAATGAATCAGTATCTTGATCGTATTTGAACTGTATCTGGAAGAGAATCTTCGACTGATTATGTATTTGAAAAATGTGTTTATTAGAATGAATTACTATATGATTGTATCTGAAAGATGATAAACTATTGACAATCTCTATCTGTTCGGGAACTAACCTGAAAAGATAGAGTTAGTTTTATGAAATAGCATGATGTATGTAATGCACCACGTAATGATGCTCTCAAAATAAATGAGAATGTTATGTGCATTTTCTATGCATATTTCTGATATTTTGTAAATGATGTATGAATGTAATATGTTGTTGAATCGTATGATAACTTCTTGTAACAATGTCTAGTTGGGGAAAATAAATCCCTGATTGTTGCTGGGGATGAAGAAAGTAATTCTTCAATTTTGTTTAGAACGACCTTACTGGGGATTTCGCTTTCTGTTTGAGGATACTCCGCTAGGGATCTTCGACTTCTTCTTGAGGATATAGGCACTCAAGGAGAGTCGGTCGTTCGGCGTTCTTTTTGTTAAAGTATTTGATTCTTACATACCCTGACTGGGGATAAAAGAGATGGA